TTCGTTCGGTTGGTGGTTGGTTTTTTTTTTTTTTTTTAGATTTGATGATTTCCTGAGTTATCTTAAAATTTAAACAGGTTATTCTTTATTGTTACACACACACGCTTGTGTGTGTGTTCTCTCTCTCTCGGTCTCTCTAAGGACTAGGAAAATATTTCTCTATCTGTATTTTCGTCACTTATGCTGGAAACTCTTTCCACCTATAACAAGAGCCAGTTTTGGATCTTGCAGATTGCATGCCAAATTTATGCATTAACTGGCAACTACTCAAAATGAGCTTGGAGGCCCCACTATACAGAAGTCCTTACAGTTTTGCTTTACAGCTAATAAAAACAACAAAGTTAATACTTTACTTCCTGTAGAGTGGTGCCGCTCTTCCCTGAACTCTTGCATTACCAATTCAACATATTGTATAATTGTGCCTGCCTATGAATATACACTTTCATTTAAGTTCATTAGCTTTGCTGCATCTAGCTGTGAACTGAACGAAAGCTTAGCTTAGTTACTGAGACCAAATCTGTGACTAGTTATTTCACCATGGGGAAAATGTAGCTGGTAGGATGCTGGCTTAGATCTAATGACTGACAAAATGGAAACTGATGCATCCAATTACACCTTATGTTGCCATTTGCAGAAAATGTCTGATAGCTCCCACCTAATTATAGGTTGCCTATGCTGTTATAGTGGAGAGATTTGAATTAAATTTCCAAAAGGTTATTCAATTACAAAAACACTGCCTTCAACTAAAATACAAATAACTTTCATTCGTTTTGTTCTTGAATTTAGCACATGAAATGGTGGAATGGCTCAGGAGCCTGGTAACGAAATAAGGAGCCTTTCACCACTTGATGACTTTCTTAAGTGTAGGTAACCTTGGTAGTGACTGGAAGCCATTACTGTGTGATGGATGTTTGGTGGTCTCAATCCAGTTCCACATCACAAAAACCACCATCACTGCAACTGACACTTATGCTTGGCAGCCTCAGCAGGGAGGCCAAGAATGAAAATGTATATGAGAAATTAACTAACTTCACATGCTTAGTGATGGGTTCCTCTATATCCTGATCAAAGCGTGTTGTTAATTATTTCATGTCATAAGGTCTGGCACTTTACAAAACAAACAAACAGAATCCCTGTCCCAGAGTTTACTGAGAGCTATTGACTTCATTGGGATTCTGCAAATGCCTGCATGGATCCAACTGCAGGACTCGTGCTGAAGTTAGGATATGGTCTATACAGGGAAAGAGTGATTGGGTGGGGAAGACAAAGGTGAAGATCATATAGTCATGAGGTTGCATGGGTAAATAGAACATGTGTCTTGAATTACACTGTGTTTTGGGTTCTTTATTAATGGAGGGGTGAGGGTGTCTGAGCAGACCCATTTTCAAGGGCGGGTGAGTGGGGGGAATTTGCATGGATAGTGCCTGTACTGTAGCTGTTCTGTAGCTTTTAGTCTAATACCAATCAAGCCCTTTCAATAAACATTCCCTGCCCCTGAGCACACTTCGAAGAAAATAAATACACCAGTGAAATGTTTGACAGGTATGCCAATGGCTAGAGGAAAACTTTTTAAATGGAATATTTTTTCAGAAAAATATAGCTTATTTGTATATTCTGTAATACTATTCCCTATCCCATTTTTGTTTGGGGGCTTTTGCCTTAAAATAACTTTTTTTTTTTTAAATCTGTCACTTAAGACTCAGCTACAGGGGGAGTTATTCTGAAAGAGATGTCCCTGACTAACTCCCTGGGCAGATCCTCTTGTATTCAGGAATGAGAGTGCCTTGTTCTTGTTTATCTTAACCTGCCTTGGATGTAGATTAAGCTAACTTGGAATAAGACAATCTTATTCCTGAATAAAAGTGTGCCCACACACCTATTCCTCTTTAAATTCATATCCTTATTTCATCCAAATTTATTTCCTAGGGTAGACAAACCCTTGGGTCCAAATCCTGGAAAAATTTATGCACATGCATAATTTTACTCAGAAGTAGTTTCACTTTAGTTCATGGGACTACTGCTGTCAGTCAAGTTATGACTAATGTAAAAACTAAATTACTAATAAGTAATATGTTCAATTCTACTATATCAGGACGGTAACTTGGAACTTTCTGATGCCTCAGAGGATTCTCATTTTAAGATGGGCAAAATAAGCATCTATGCCAGATGAACCTATAGGAAACAAAATTGTATTATGCAAATATCTTTCTTAAAAATTAACAAAAGAATGTCCCCCCCCCCCCTTCTCTGAAAGAGACAAAGTGGTCTCTAAACAGAATAATTTTCAAACATTTCCATGGAATGTTGGCAGATATTTATATTTGTGTTCTTTTTAAGCAGAGCAGAGATAAACATATGCTCTAGATGAAAAACAGAAGCTCTATGAAAAAGTAGTCTGTGCCTTTTTTTAGAAGAAACTGTGCATCCTTTTTTAATGGCTTCTCTCATTGGATGTGAAAACAGCCTCTCACTTGCCTCAGCAACCCCTGCAAGCTGTACCTGCCATAGCATTGTTCTTGCTTCCTTGAGGCAGCAGAGACAGAGTTGTAACTAGAATGCAACTTTTTCACCTATAGAAGACCACTTTATGTGTCCTCCGCCTTATTTTTCCTTTATAGCAGGCATACTCACTACATCCATCTACTAGCTAGGAAGGCAGGCAGCTTCCTATGAGGCTGGAGTATTATTTTTGGGGCAGCTGCTGCTAGATGTGAACTTGTCTATATTGGCACAGTGCTTGGCACAATCCACTAAATAAGTTGGCTGCAACCCTCTTAACAGTTTGATTAAAATGGCTTCTGCCAAACAAATTATTGCTTTTAAAGTAAGTATATAAAGGGGCTTTACAATATACATTGGACATGAAACTATACTGGGATAATTAGAGTATTTAATGACTAACTACACTTAAAAAAAATTCTTTTATGTCAATTTGGTCACTGTTAGTGGTAATCTGGATGTTAGAGAATGCAAATGTAACAAGGTTATTAACATCAAATTGAGTGTTATGTTTAAAGTGGTAAATATCCAAATATTTGATTTGTTTTGAGTGTCCTGCACAATAAAACTATCTAAGCAATATTTTCTTTCCCATGTCTTATTTTAGATTGAGTCCAGGTGTATTTCTCTAAAAGGCAGCATTCTCCATGTTTTCTTGTAAACATAAATACAATCACTAACAAATATATGTTCAGTTATGAGGGTTGTGACACAAACAGATGTTAATAGGCAGGATTTCAAAGTTATGTCTAAAATTTTAGCTGTACCTCACAGGACTCTGCTTCCCCCCGAAACCCACCTCCATTTAACAAGAGATGAAATAAAAAGAGCACAATTCCATTCAGGTTTAGAGTAAGGCAAGTTAGCCTTATCAGCCAAGGGAATTTCTTTGCTTTAGTTTGTGTCACCATCTTGATGTTTCAGCATGGTTTTCTCCTCTCTGAAATTCCATGTTTTCATAAAGAAGGAATTATGCTCTGTTGTGCAAATGTGTAGTTGGATGATCATTAACCTGCTAGACAGGCTGTTGTGTCCATTTGGCTGTCATGCAGTCTGTGCTAAAATTCTTAATGCAATTGTATTTGAAAAAGTCTCTGAAAATGCTCAGTAGATGCTGAAGGGTATGTTTGTGTTCATTTTAAACAAAATGTGATTTAGAAGGTCCGTATGCATAAAGAAGCATGTTGTGGCTCACCACCCTAGGAACATTCTAGAAAAGGCCAAGGGAAGGGGGGTGAGCTCAACACATGGAGTGGAGAAGTATAATCTTGTGATGAACAAATCTAGGGTTACCATCTGTCCGTATTTCCCCAAACATGTCCGGCTTTTGCATCTCTAAATAGCCATCCGTGAGGAATTGGTAACAAGGTTAAAATGTCCGGGTTTTTTTTCTCCCTCGCCTCCCTTCCATGCAGAGTGAGGTTACTGATTGGGCGGCTGGGCCGATTGACCCACTCCCATTGGCCTCCAGCAGCCAGAGCCCTCCCCTGCTCCCCCCTCTCTCTATCTGCAGCCCTGTGTAACACACAAACCAACCCACCGGGCAGTGTGTTTTGCAAACACGTGGAGCCAGAATGGTAAGGGGAGTCGGGGGGGGTGAGCAGTCAGGGAGCTGGGGGGTGTTGGATGGGTCCCCGGCCTCCACCTGCCACCTCCCCTCTGCGTGTCACCTCCCCCGCCTGCTTGTACTGCCAGAGCCAGCAGCAACTGCTTTCTGCTGCCCCCGGGTCCTAGCGTCCCCCATCCACTAATGGGAAGACAGGCTGCCCTTCCACCCTAGCCCTGAGCCTCTCCAACACCCCAAACCCCTCAGCCCCAGCCCTCAGCCCCCTGCACCCTAATCCTCTGCCCCAGCCCTGAGCCGCCTCCTGCATCATGAACCCCTCATCCTCAGACCCACAGCCCTCACCCCTGCATCCCCTCCTATCCCCAAAATCCCTCCCAAATCCCCTGCCCCCTTCCCACATACCCCCTCCTGCCCTCAAACTCCCTCCCAAAGCCTGCACCCCCTCCCTTTGCACCACCTCCCACCCCCAAACTCCATCCCAGAGCCTGCACCCCTCACCCCCTCCTGCACACCCACCCCCTGCCCCAGCCCGGAGCCTGCACCCAGCACCCAAACTCTATCCCAGAGCCTGCACCCTACACCCCTCCTGCACCCTAATCCCCAGCCCAGGACCTGCACCCCAGACCTCCTCCCTGCACAAAACCCCCCTCCCAGAGCCTTAGGCAGGTGGCGGGGAGTGGGTTCTGGGCACCACCAAAATTTCTACAACCCTGCCACCCATGCGAGTGGATAAGGGTCAGGGCAGTCAGGGGGTGGGAAGTGGGAGGGAGTGGCTGGGGTGGGGGGTGGGGCAAGGGCGGGGCTTCCCCCCAGTGTCCTCTTTTTTGATTGTGGAAATATGGTAACCCTAAACAAATCCATATATGGAAAGGTTAAATATGATTGGCTAAAGGTTTGTGTTATGTAACTTATGTTACTGCCAAGTGCTATAAAATAGCAATGGGAGGGGCTCCTTGTTAGAGGAACTCTGGCTGATTTTTGTACCAGGGGCTCTCCCTTTGTGCACACTGAATAAAGTCTTGTTGAACTGAATTGAATGAAGTATCAAAGACCCTTGATTCTGCCCGGCATCTGACTCATTTGATTATTATTGGGAACCACAAAATCCGAACAGTTTCTTGGTGCAGCGAGCAGGGTGAGAAATATCCTTCAGGATCACGACCTACAATCAAATTAGAGGGTGAGTTTGTTCATTTTTTTTTATTTGGTTGTGTCTCTCTGACCTGACTGCTGACTCTCATACCTTTTGTAGTAAGCAAGTCTTGGTGTTGGGGAATTCAAGGGGTTTGTTGCATTTTTGAAACATTTAGGTCACAGTCTTAAGACATTGTACTTAGTGTGGGGGCTAGTTAAACTGTAAGTTCCTCTGACTAAGTGTTGTTGAAGTGGGAAATCAAAGAGGCCATAAGGACCAACAGTTGGTGTAGGGGCAGGCATAGCCATAAGTACCTCTAGTTAATGTGTTGGCTGGCCCAGATCTCCTAATTGGAAATTGTAATTGTGCAGATCAAATAAATTGGAAAATGGATCAATCTGCTAATTGGGCATTTTAGTCTAGGGTGTTTGATTTGAATAAATTATTAAAATTTGGAGACTGGAGGATATTTAGGTAGAAAAAAAAGGGCAAGATGGAGATATAGTGATCCACAATATGAAGAGTGTATAATTAGTGCTTTTATAACTATTGTAGCAGTAAGTTTTAATTTTCTTGTTGAGATATTTTGGCTATATGGCTGAATAAAGAAGGATAACCACCCCCCATTACAAGTGGGCAACACTGATTTTGTGCATAAACCACAATATTTATCAGAGGAAGACTATGTCCTCAGTGTAGATGTAAGGTTGCTGGCTGTAAAATCTGCCCTGTCTCAGTATGAAAGGCATTGAACCAAGGATATCCAACACATGATGATTACCCGACTAAACATTCATATTATATTGCCTGTTGGTGTATGGGGTTAAAAAATAGCAGGGAGTTGTAAAAGAAATAGTCAAAATGTAATTCACCTGTCTGGCCTGTTAAGAAGCCTGATGGATCGTGGCGGCTTACCATTGATTATCGAAATATTAACATGCATGCAGACAGGCTCACCCCCTTAGTCGCTGACCCTAGTACTATTCTTTCTACTGTGCCTAATGATCACATAGTGTTTTCAGCCTTGGACATTAGCAATGGCTTTTGGTCTGTTCCTGTGCACCCTGACAGTCAACTTTAGTTTGCATTTACTGTTAAAGGGAAGCAATATACCTTTACTCACCGAAGCCAGGGTTTTCATAACTCATCTACTTTGTTTCATAGAGCATTAGCTGATGTGCTGGCAAAGCTGCCAGACATGGCTTCCTGTGTTGTACAGTATGTTGATCTTCTTATCTCCTCACCAGATCGCCAAATGCACATGAAAGACTTCACTTGACAGACAGTGGGGTAAAATGTAATGCTAGAAAGGCTCAGATTGCAAAGGAGGAAGTATCATATCTGGGGTATCTAATATCCAAAGGGTACAAGTGTTTAACTGTTGACCGCATTGAAGCTTTTAAGGCATGCCCACGACCAATTACGGTCAGGGGAGTTAGGAAAGTGTTGGGGCTATTCAATTTCTGCCGAACTCAAAACCCAAATTATTCAAGGATTGTCCAGCCCCTTAATAATTTCCTGAAGGGTGTTGGTGGACCACATGATGCAACTGAATGGACACTTGAATATGAACAGGCATTTACCACATTGAAACAGAGGCTGAGTACTGCCCCAGGATTGGGACTTCCTAATCCATTAATGCCTTTTACATTGTACACGCATGTCAGTGAGGGACATATGGCAGCAGTGTTAACACAAAAACATGGGGACAAACAGCACCCAGTAGCATACTACTCTTGTAAACTAGATGCTGTCGCTCAAACAATGCCACCATGCCTCCAGGCAGTGGAAGGAGCTTCTATGGCCCTAAATCAGGCCTCACCACTTATTGGTGCGCAGGATGTAAATATTGTCATGCCTCACGCTGTCCTTGCTATTTTATCAGGAAAGAAATCTTCGGCAGTCCATGTGGCAAGATGGACTCTATGGGAAAAGAGCTTGCTAATGCCTTCGGTACATCTGCAATGAGTGTCATCGCTAAACCCTGCCACCCTCATGCCTACCCCAGATGAGGGACACCCGCATCATTGTTGTCTTGAGGAAGAGCCCATGGACCTTCCATTGGTAAAAGAAACTGAAATACCTGGTGCCCTTTGTCTATCTGTGGATGGTTCTTCCTTCTATGTGGATGGCAAGCGACACACAGGATGGGCCGTTTGTACTCAAGATAGGCAGCTGGTGGCGCATGGTAGTTTACCTGGGGCAGCTGCACAAGTAGCAGAACTACAGGCATTAGTTGCAGCATGTTAAGCTGTGAAAGGTCATGGTGTTGTAAACATATATACTGATTCTAGATACGCGTTTGGGGATTATATTAACTTGTGGGTAAATCGGGGATTCCTGACGAGTACAGGATCCCCAATACAAAATGGGGGGATAGTAGAAAAACTTCACGCAGCCATGCAAAAACCTACCGAAGTAGCAGTATTAAAGTGAGGGCCCACACAAAAGGGACAGACCCTCATAACAAGGGGAACCGAAGGACAGATGAATTAGGTAAACAAGCAGCAGTGGAAGGTAAAGAGAGACAATTGATTGCTGCAACACAGCCTCTCATAAAAACCCCAAACTTTTTTGAATTACAGGACATCCAACACGCTGCACCAAGGGCAGAGAAATGGTTATGGATGGATAATGGGGGCAAACTGTGTGATGATAACACTTGGAGAGGTCCATGGAACAATTAGTGTTACCAAATGTGCTGATGGGAACTATGATACAAGTGTATCACATATTGGACATGATGGAGCATGGAGGGTGATCCACCGGATGTTGGACACCTAGTGGCATCCTAAGCTTAATGCAAACGTGCACGATTATATGAGAAGGTGTGTAACGTGTACTCAATGTAATTCTGCTCCCACAGTGAAAGTGAGAATGCGATATCAGCCAAGACCAACTCAGTCCTTCACACAGTTACAAATAGATTTCATTGGGCCCCTGCCAAGGTGCAGAGGGAAAGAATATGTTCTGGTGTTTGTGGATCACTTTACTAAATGGGTAGAAACTTTTCCAGTGGCCAAGGCCACTGCGTCTGATGTAGCTAAAATACTGATGACCAAAATAATTCCCTGATGGGACTTCCATGCTTCATTGGTAGTGACCAAGGTACCCATTTTACAGGGAAGGTGATGAAAACTGTATGCATGGCACTGGGGATCAAACAGAAATTCCACTGTCCCTACCATCCCCAGAGTTCGGGATTAGTAGAAAGAGCTAATCGAACCATTAAAAACAAACTAACCAAACAGATGTTTTCTGTTACAGGGAAAGACTGGGTCACCAACCTACAAGTGGTTCTCATGTCTATGAGAGCCAGTCCTACTAATCCACATTCCTTATCTCCTTTTGAAATGCTGAGAGGGCGGGCGATGAGGATGCCAAGAAATCTGTGCATTGGGGGGGAGGAGGGGAGAGATTCTATGTCATGGGTGACCAGCTTGCTGAATATTGCAAATGGTTATCTCAGCGTGAACCAGACCCAAAGGCCGGCGAAGAGGACACGTGTGAGGTGCAGCCCAGTAATCAGGTGATGGTGAAAGCCTATAGAAAACACACCTTTGAACCAGCCTGGACTGGACCTCACACGGTTCTCTTGGTAACTCCTTCAGCAGCCCTGGTCACTGGAATTCCAGTTTGGGTGCACCTGTCACGAGTAAAAGTATACAAGGGTGAGACTCAATATGGGGCACAATAATCCCTGTTTACCCTATGGACTCCTGGAGAGCCACTCTCAATATTGTTAGGTGTTTTCATTTGATATTCCCAGTTTAAGATTGATGTAGGAATTTTTTGTGGTCTACTAATTGTTTTGAGTGGTTTCTGAAACTTGAAATTTTTTTTTAAGAGGTCTCATCTTAATAATGCTGCAGTGGCTTTCAGTGTTTTACTGATGTAATCACTTGGGGAGGAGCCAATCACTTGGATCAGTTGTAAATGCCATTACTCACATTATCAAATCTAATAGGGACTGGGTTGAAAATTTGTTAGTAGCAGGGATGACAGTTTATTGTGGTGAGAGTAGGGCTCATATCTAATCAAGTTGGATATCACCTTAACTCAGCAACACAGTTGGTCAGGTCCTCACTGTTGTACTCAGCCATCTACTAAAAACTACTAAAATGTATAAGCAAGCATTGGTCTAGGCGTGTGGAATAATTGTGTTATCATCCTGGCATGGTGTTCAACATGAAAGTTGCAGCCCTGATAGGAGACTTCCTCGTGTCACAGGTGCCCTGTTGGGTGAGAGCTGCAGTTCTCAAAGACTGAATGTCTTCACCTTGGATGATAGCAGGGGAGTGGTCCCTATAGATAACAGAGGCATGTTGGGATGGTCATTCCATCCTTGGAGGGGTGTTAATTCCTGTAGGTTGGGCTCTTGAATTAGAGGCTCAGCCCGTCCACCCACTCCCAGTCTCATGTTACAGACACCTATAGCATCAAGAATTCTGGGTATGTAATAAGGGCCAGAGATAACTTTATAGCTTTCCCATGGGACCAATGTTCCATCCTGGGAGGATGGGTTTTGTGTATGGGAAACATGGAGTCAGGACAAGCCTTATCTCAAATGTTGGGACCTGACTTAATGGTGCATGTAACGTTTAATTTAATGAATGATATAACAGTGAGGAAGGACTCCACTACCTGGTGTGGATTTGGGTTATGTTCTCGCAATAGGTATGGAGACTTATTATTATTTTTATTGTAGATATCATTATGTATTAAAGGTTACATGTATTATTTAATTCTGTTACCAAAATTGCTATTAATTAAGTGTTGATAAGGTCAATGATTGCTCCTAATAAATACAAGGAAGTGGTGTTAGTGGGGTCTAAGAATTGTTCTTGGCCTCAAAACCAAATGGGGGAGCTGAAGGGTATGCTTGGGTTCATTTTAAACAAAATGTGATTTAGAAGATACATATGCATAAAGAAGCATGCTGTGGCTCACCACCCTAGAAACATTCTAGAAAAGGCCAAGGGGAGGGGGGTGAGCTCAACATGTGAAGTGGAGAAGTATAAGTATGTGATTAACAAATCCATATATGGAAAGGTTAAATATGATTGGCTAGAGGTTTGTTTTACGTAACTTGTTATGTAACTGCCACGTGCTATAAAATAGCAACGTGAGGGGCTCCTTGTTAGAGGGACTCTGGCTGATTTTTGTACCATGGGTAGGGTGACCAAACAGCAAATGTGAAAAATCGGGACGGGGGTGGGGGATAATAGGAGCCGATATAAGAAAAAGACCCAAAAATTGGGACTGTCCCTATAAAATCGGGACATCTGGTCACTTTAACCATGGGCTCTCCTTTTTAGCACATTGAATAAAGTCTTGTTGAACTGAATTGAATGACGTATCAAAGACCCTTGATTCTGCCCGGCATCTGACTCATTTCATTATTATCGGGAACCACAAAATCCCAACAATGTATTTTTAAATTTCCATCTAGACAGCTTTTTTCCCCTCCCAAAACACCAAGAATGATCAGGTCATACTACAACTAGCAGCTTGCCACATATATGCATAGAACAAGCTGATAGTCTATAGTGCAGCCCTTTATATATTCATTCCTCAAGTACTCGTCAAGTAGTAGAATATTCAGTTAAGCACAATACTAGTTCATTCAATGTTTAACAGTCTGCAGTACAGCAGCCTTCAAAGTTTACAATTTTTTACTCCTTTTTAAATACACAGAGTAGTCTATAGTTAAGCACTCAAAAATACCAGTAGAGAAATGTAAACTTTCACTATTCTAACATCAGAAATGAAAGCTAAAAGATCTTTGTTTTATACAATATTCAAAGCCCATTTAGGATTAATTAGTATTTTAGAATCATATAACACTTACTTTATTTTTGTCTTGTACAACCAATACTTTTCCAGTGTCTACATCCAATGCAGCACCTATTGGAGACAGAATATTTTCTGGTAACTTTAGAAAGATAGTGTCTGGAAACTATTATACAATTTTAGAATTCAGAATTTTACATGACCTAAAAAGAAAGCATGATAAACCTTTCGAGGGACTGATCAGTGCAAGTTTAGTCTAGGCCAGGAGTAGGCAACCTATGGCATGCGTGCCAAGGCAGCACGCAAGCTGATTTTCAGTGGCACTCACACAGCCTGGGTTCTGGCCACTGGTCCGGGGGGCTCTGCATTTTAATTTAATTTTAAATGAAGCTTCTTAAACATTTTACAAACCTTATTTACTTTACATGCATCAATAGTTTAGTTATATATTATAGACTTATAGAAAGAGACCTTCTAAAAATGTTAAAATTTATTACTGGCACGCGAAACCTTAAAGTAGAGTGAATAAATGAAGACTCGGCACACCACTTCTGAAAGGTTGCCAACCCCTGGTCTAGGCTTAGTCTAAGTGATTTATCATCAGAAAATTGGATTGTGCTAAATGAAAAAAGTACATCAAATTACAGGTATAAAAGTTAAAACTTCTCAAGATGGGGGGAATGTGCTTTCCAAAATTAAGATGTAGCTATCATATGTAAAAGAAAAAAAAATCTTAAATTTTATGTAAAATGACTGCTAGTAAGGTTCCAAGGCCAAGAAAACTATTCCAAATAATCTAGCAAAACATACTTGGAAGTCAATTCCTTTCTTCAAGAGAGGTCTCATTTAAGTCCATGGGAATCTTTCCATTGACTTCAGTGGGCCTTCAATCAGGCCCCAGCTGAAAACCATCCTGGGTGAAAGCCTGACCCTGTTAAATCAAATGACGAAGCTCTCCCTAATTTCAGTGGGGCCAGCAGGGTGGATAAAAATCAACTGGATTTTTTTTTATTTAAATCAGATTTTTTTGATAAAATGCTTTTTGAGGAAAAACCCTATCTAAAGATAGTTTTAATTAAGATACATTATAGTTCAAAGATATCTCATCATGGAATAGGGATTATAAATTCTAATTCTATAGTATGAGACAATATATTCATGTACTGTTTAAGAAAAGTTTTGTAAATTAGTTCCAATAGTTCATGGATTAGGGATCCAATCTTATGGAGTTCCAGGGGCTTCTGTATAGATTATTTAGGTTAATCTTTCTATCTACCCAATGGGACTCAATGCTCAGTCTAGAAGATACCATCAGAGATGCTTAGTTTTGCAGTTCTCAAACTGCATTTGTCTTCAGAGATAACATGCTTGTTAACAGCAAAAATGTTTTTAATTAAATAAATAATATATAGAGGAGAGAAATAACAGACCTCAACCCTATTGTCCCTCTGCAAATTTGTATACACAGAGTCAATCCCTTACCTCTCTCTAAAAGTGCAAAGTTTCAAAAAGTTCAATGAATAGAAGATTGTGGGGGACAGAAGAGATCTGGACAAAGAGAAGAAGTCTGGAGATAAATGTGAAAAGGGAGGGACAGGCAGTAGAAACAAAAGTGAAACTGTTTGAGCAGCATATTCCAGAAGTCTTGAGGTCTTTCTGAGTGCAGCCTTCATTGATTTAAGATCTACCATACCATTCTCTCACTAGAAGGGAAAACCTATAATGGCAGCAGGCCATAAAAGAGACCCAGTTTGGGAATAAGAACCATTCAAGAAATATATGTTTGCTGCTGATGCTTTAAAGAAAGTCACATCAGTGAACTGGTAGAAGTCACTTAAGCACTTGGATTCAGAGACTGCTGAAGTGATAATCTCACTTTTTACAGTGGTAGCTGCTTCTGCTTGTGAAGGAAGAATATTTTCTTCCTTTGGACTAATTCATTCCAAATTGAGCAATTGTTTGGGACCTAAAAAAGCAGGAAAGCTTGTTTTTCTTTTCCAGATTATGAACAAATAGGAAAATGAAGATCAAGACGACTGAGTTAGCTGCAGAAGCCAATATTTTAAGTTTCTTATGTTGACCTGGCTGACAGTCTATTTTTATTTTTTAAAAATTTCATTTAACTATTTTACTTAAATTTTTTTTTACAAAAACGAACCTGATTTTAAAAAACTTGAATGTTTAACTAAATTCAAAAAATCATATGCTTGTTTTGTTAAAATATTATATGTTTGCTGTTGAAGAAAAACATCCAGAATACATAACAGTGTTGTTTTAGTTAAATAAAACAATTTAAACATCTTTCTGGTGATGTTCTCCTCCTAATACAGCATGACAAGAAAATCCTCCAAATATTAATGATTAATCTGTTGAATTGGAGATAGTTCACCTCCCAGTGACTTCATAAATATCTGCTTCAATTACCTTTGGTAAATGAAATAACCAAACAATCATTCATTTTCTGATATAGCTGTAAAACTAATCTGAAAAGTTTTCAAAATAAATCACTTTAAAAATGTATAGTGTGTACCTTCTAAACATGAAAAACCTACATCTATCTCTGAGTTGTGAAGAATATGTATTAAGGTTATAACAACCAACAAGAATGCACTTTTATGTAGAAATCCATGATTAAGTTGAGTCTTCCTGACTAGTGATTTAAATCAAATCCACCCTGGAGGCCAGGAGTTCCCTCAGGAGATATCGGTACTTTCAGATTAAGAAACAGGC